TCCGAGGTGGGTGAAATGAGGACCCAGACTGTGGGGGCAATATGCTGACTCTGTAAACTGTTTAGAGAGGGCTGAAAGCCCTATGAAGCAGTATATAAGTCTAACTGCTATTGCTATTGCTAAATAGCCTGCTCTCTTGATTTAAAATAGGGGCGTATTGGTTTAGTGGCTAAGATGCTGAGCTTGTCGATCAGAAAGGTTGGCAGTTCGGTGGTTTGAATCCCTAGCGCCGCATAACGGAGTGAGCTCCCGTTACTTGTCCCAGCTTCTGCCCACCTAGCAGTTCGAAAGCATGTAAAAATGCAAGTAGAAAAATAGAGACCATCTTTGGTGGGAAGGTAACAGCGTTCTGTGCACCTTTGGCATTTAGTGATGCTGGCTATATGACCACAGAGACGTCTTCAGACAGTGTTGGCTCTTCGGCTTTGAAACAGAGATGAGCACCACCCCCTAGAGTCAGGAACGACTAGCCAAAATGTTCGAGTGGAACCTTTACCTAATAGTAGCTAGCTAGCAAATCGGTCCCTGGTTGTCAAAAATCTGAATACCGATTTACTTGCTTTGCTCCTTTTTCTTTGCTTCAAGAATCAATCTATTCACAGTAGACCTCCCCATGATCTCCAAAATGGTTTGGTGCAGACCTTGGTGTGATCGTGTATCACCTCTCCTGCGGGAGCTGCATTGATCGCCAATTTGCTTCATGGTGCAATTCAAAATGCTGGTTGTCACCTTTAAACCCTTCATTGCTTGGGACCAGTCTCTTGCCGGTCACTGTACACTGCCCCACTAGAGTGGGGAGGCAAGGAACGTTGCGGGTCCCGCCTCTAAGGAGATACACTTGGTGGGACCCAGAAGAAGGGCCTTCTCCATGGTGGCTCCCTCATTCTGCAATATTATCCCCCCAGAGATTAGACTGGCCCCCACTCTAACACTCTTTCAGAAGGCCCTGAAGATGTGGGCTACCAACGGGCCTGGAGAACCCAGAGCAGGATGGAGCCCATTAAATAGCTGGCATGCATGTGTGTTATCGCCGGGATGAGAGGATGGGGGTGGTTATTCTATTATTTTTATATTGTGCTTTTATGTCCTTGTAAGCTGCCTTGAGTCGCCATTGCAAGTAGGCAGCAATATACATTTTCTAAACAAACAAACAAAATAGCAGAACATAAACTGGGTGGGAAATGAGAGCCCATTTGGCTTCAGGCTAGTTCCCGGGAGACTCTGAGTTCTAATCCCACCTTAGGCAATGGAAGCCAGTTGGGTGACTAGTCCAGTCACTCTCTCCCAAGCCCCTGTTGACCTTGGCTGACAAGCCGGTGGGTCCCTTCCTTTCACAATCAATGGATCAACACTCGAGTTGAGATGGAAAAAGCACTTGCTAGGAAGGAAATAAAAATGGGTGGCAAATGAGATGGTGCCCAAAAGGGCTCTTCCAGTGTGAATTAAAAGCTCCCTGTTATAGTTGGGTTATAAGAGGACGTATTCATAAGGAGAGCGAATGTGTTGCTGTTTCCTTTGAGAAGGGGGCACAGGAAGACCTGGTGGGTTTTTTTTTTTAAAAAGCTTTAAATAGCCAATAGCATCTTTATGTTAGGAGAGGACGTTCTTAATGTTGTGTACAGGTAGTCCTTGACNGCAGTCAGCTGAAGTAGCCTGCAGTGCTGCATTTAACCACTGGGCCACCTCGGCTCTGTCAGCAGGCTCTGGGCTGCTGACAGAATCCATTGCTAAGTTAATTAAAAACATAGGCAAAACATGAGTGTGGCCTAAAAATAGGCCAATTAAAATGCAGCCTTCCCCTGCGAGCAAAATTAGGTTTTAAGGGATTTAACCCTAACCCTAACTTCTGCTGCCTGCCGGCTGCCTGCAATTTGGCAGTTCAAATCTCACCAGGCTCAAGGTTGACTCATACTTTCAAGGTGGGTAAAATGAGGACCCGGATTGTTGGGGCCAATAGGCTGACTCTGTAAACCGCTTAGAGAGGGCTGTAAAGCGGTATGTAAGTCTTAAGTGCCATTGCTATTTTGGAAACGCTGGAAGACTGAGCCCCATCCATCCCTCTGGGGCAGCGGTCTCCAACCTCCAAGCTTTGCTGGCTGAGGAATTGTGGGTGTTGAAGTCCACAAGTCTTAAAAGTTGCCAAGGTTGGAGATCTCTGATCTAGGAGATGCTATTACTCCTGCGAAGCACTGACTCTTAAAAAAAAAAAATGAAGGTCACCAACAGGATTTTGCTGAGATTTAATAAACGACAGTTTGGCTTCATCATCTTATAGTCCACCCTAGCTAAAACATTTTTCGTTTGCTGACTGTTGTTGTTGTTTTTGCAGAGTGGTTCAGAAGCAAATGGCCTTCATGCTGGGCCGCCACGGGGTCTTTCTGGAGCTAAGTGAGGATGTCGAAGAATATGAGGATCTTACAGAGATCATGTCTAATGTCCAGCTCAACAGTAATTTTCTGGCCTTGGCCAGGGAAGTAAGTTCTTTTGCACAATCACAAGGTGGTGCTTCCCCCCCCCCCCCCAGTAGGATTTAGAATCTTGAAAAAGGAGCAGTGTATGTGGTCAAACTAATGGCCCGCGGGCCGGATGCGTCACGGGCTGGCCATGCCCATGCCCAGTTTAGTGAAGGGGGAAAAAAAATCGTGATACGTCCCGTGGTGACGCCAGTTGGACACCCCTGATTTAGAGCAAGGCAAGGGATAAATGTTGACTGAATGACAGTGAGATATAGACTCCTGGGAAAGCTTTTCAAGCAGTCTGGCTTAATTTTAAGAAATGCCTCGTTGTTGTTGTTGGTTGCGAAGTCATGTCCAACCCATTACAACCTCATGGACAACGTTCCTCCAGGCCTTCCTGTCCTCTACGATCCTCTGGAGTCCATTTAAGCTCACGCCGACTGCTTCGGTGACTCCATCCAGCCACCTCATTCTCTGTCATCCCCTTCATTAGGTGGCCACAGTATTTGAGTTTCCTCTTCAGGATCTGGCCTTTTAAAGAGCAGTCAGAGTTGATCTCCTCTAGGACTGACCGGTTTGATCGCCTTGCAGTCCAAGGGACTCGCAGGAGTCTTCTCCGGCACCAGAGTTCAAAGGCCTCCATTCTTCGGTGGTCAGCCTTTCCTATGGTCCAACTTTCACAATGCCTCCTAATCCCCATCCTGTAGCATTATTTTTCATCTTAGTGCCATCTAAGCTGGCTCTCCAGCTTCAGCGTACCTTGGAGGAAGCTAACTATCTTGACCCCTTCCAGTCTGGCTTCAGACCCG